AATCGCTTTGGAAAGAAGACAATGCTCTGTGTTTGGTGGGATCAGAAGGGTGTAATCTATTAGGGGCTGCTAAAACCTGGTGAAACCGTTAACACTGATCGCTACCAACAGCAAATGATCGATTTAAATCGCGTGAAAAACGATCGGAATATGGAAAAAGGCAACACAAAGTCATTTTGCTCCATGATAATGCCCCATCACACACAGCAAAACGGGTCAGGGAAACGATCGAGGCGTTCAATTGGGAAATACTAACGTATGCGGCTTATTCTCCAGACTTGGCTCCGTCCGATTATCATCTATTCGCATCAATGGGACACGCTCTCGCTGAACAACGCTTCAATTCGTATGAAAATGTACGAAAATGGCTCGATAGCTGGTTCGCTTCAAAAGAAGAAATGTTTTTTGGCGTGGCATTCATAAACTGCCGGAGAGGTGGGAAAAATGTATAAATAGCAATGGACATTATTTTGAATAAAATATTTTTTATCATTTTCAAACAACAGACGTGTAATTTTTACAAAAAAATTCCAGTTTCATACTTCTACACCTGGTATACGGCGTTCGACTTATACTGAGACGATTTCTACGTCAAAAATTTAAATAAATTATACTTCAACAGTAATAATAATAGAAAATAAATGTTATGACATATATAAGACGGCTGGTGTGTACGTGTGATAAATTGTTACACGACAAGGTTGAAAAGATATCTCCGAATAAACTACTAATTACTTTTTGTAACATATAAATTTTGGCTCCAGTATAAAAAAAATTTTCATAAAAATATACTCACGTCTTTATTTGTATAATTTTATACAAATATATTAATTTTTCACATGATGCAGTGTGTACACAGTGGTATATTGTCGAGATTTGAGACTGTTATTCATAAAAAAAACTGGATACTGTTATTCATTAAAAACTTAGTACATTATTCATCATTTAGAGAGAGAGAGAGAGAGAGAGAGAGAGAGAGAGAGTGTGTGTGTGTGTGTGTGTGTGTGTATTCATATTTAATATATTCTCGTCAATCATTTTCTCCACGTGCTTGAGTCAACAGAAACGCACAGAAGCAAACGAGACGCGGAAGGATCAAAAAGAAAAGAACACATACACACACACACACACAAATGATTAGTTGTGAAACGACCAACTACCTTTATCCAACTCGGTGTTATTCTGAAGAATCGGCCTGTTGGCGCCAACGTCGACCTTATTCGCCGACAAGTCCGACACATTAGCGTCGGAGGCAGGGCTGGCGGCCTCGAGCTTGCTCGCGTCCTGCACCGAGATCGGGTTTGTGTAAACGAACTGCTTGATGGTGACCGGACCCTTGTAGAAGGTCTTGTTACCGAGATGCACGTTCGACGAGTTCTTCACGCATACGTCGCCGAAATTGGACGGGTCGGCGTTCGGCAGCACGACGTCACCGTTCGCGGTGGCGACCGCCTGGTGCTGCTGGACGATGGCGGCCGGCAGATTGGCCACCCAGCCGCCCTCCTCCACGTCCGTCTCCTCCTCGTCCTCGTCATCCTCGACGTCGTCGTCATCTATGTCACTGCACTGCGTAGAGGAACCTCCAACACTGTCATTGCCCGGAACGACGAGCGCGGTTTCCTTCGCCTTGCGCGCGACCTCCTCCTCTTCGCCGTGAAAAACGACCGCGTGATCCTCAACCGACACTACGGCGCCGTTCGCGCGCTCCTGCTCCTGTCTTTGGTACTGGTGGCTGTCGTCCGGCGTCTGCTGCTGTTGTACCAATGTCACCATGCCCGTGCACTGTATGCGGCGGAGAGAGAGAAAGAGAAAGAGAGGAGAGGGAGAGAGAAAAGTGGCGCATCACCTTGCCAATTTGACAGCTCGGCCAGAGACGAGCGCGAGATGGTACGCGTGCGTCAGTGTGCAGCTAGGTGGGGTTGTGAGAAACGAAGGCTGTGCGGTTTCTCTCGCTCTATGGTCGGGTACGTCTAGCGACGACGATTCTTTCACCTTCGACTGAACAGGTTGCGGCTCCCGTAGACGAGACACGACGTAGTTCACCGCGCGGCGAGAAGCAAGCCGATCGACTCTCCGCGTACATTGCCGTGACCGTAAATGTAAGACGTAATCTGGAGAACCGAAGAACGGGATATTACTAGTTTGGTGTACTCGAGAAGAAGATAGATAGAAGTAACTAGTCTTATTTACTTCTGCTTACGATCAGATTTATGTCTTCTTTTAGAGCACACAAATCTGAGCAATCATCTATAGTAATAAAGACATAGAAGTAGTATGGAAAATTTAAACTATTTAATAGATTATCTATGTTTGGAAATGCTTATGATAATTTAATTGACATATTTTACATGCCATTGCGTCCACCTTTAGACCTTCGTATCATTATTAAGCACTTAAGGATGTATCGCCCATTAGTGCCGTATTTTCAGTGGCGTATCAAGAGCGCCACTCGTAAATTTGGCATTTATCAAGCAAAATGACGTTCCTACATATTTATTTATACATATTATTCTGCGTATTTATTGCACTGCCTAAACAATAAATGTTAATTTCAAACGAAGTTCGGGTAGACAATATTATATATACGAAAATATCATTTTTATTTTTTTTATTAATGCTACTTTTATGCATTAATTGATCCAATAGATGCACAGATAATAGAAAGATATATAAGAATTTAAATATGTGCATATTTATATATATTTCGAGTATTATTATACAGGTAGGGGATAGTTATTCCCGCATGATCCCGGTGTGGAACAGACCTACTTCAGGAACTTAGCGACCCTGCCTACGCGAGTTCTTGGACTTCCCCATAAGCCATATCCCGGAGAACCCATGTCCTAATCCTAATCCCACCTGTGACCTATAATATCCTTTCCAGATTCCCCAATACTCAGAACGGATGAAGCTCGGCAGCCGAGGTGATGGCAACCCATTTAAGAGAAGGAATCTCCAAAATCAAATCCCTGCTCCTCCAGGTTGGAAGTTGAGGCATCATGGCCAATCATCTGATACTCGGGAAAAACAGTATGAGTTAAAAATCTCAGTAAAATACCTCAGACGGAAAACCAAATTACGGCGACCAAAGATGAGAAAACGGATTATGAATATCGGAACATGGTCTCTCCCGGAAAACAAACGAAATCATTTCTAAATTAAAAGAACTGAATATGGACATAACAGTGTTGATGGAAACAAAAAGAAAGGATCAAGGCTCGGAGAAACTATAGAGAACAATGGCGACTGAGAATCGGAAGATGTCGAAGAACGTTTTGACCCGATATAGTAGTAGTAGTAGAGTGTATTATTATACGTTATGAACTTTATACTTTATATTTTTAAAACAAAATGATCAGTAATTCTGAAATTTGTATATAATGTCTGGATATTAATCTTTAATATTATAATAGTTTTTCATTAAAATCTTATTTTTTGTTTAGAAAAAATTAGAAATAGAATTTAAAAATTACACGCTAATCTTAAGAAAAACGTATAAAAAGTATTAACTTTAACTACAAATATCTCAGTTCTAGAATGGTCAATCTTTTTCTATGATAATTGCACTAACAATAAGTTAAATATCTCAATGTATAAGCAAGTTTTATCGTATTCTTATTAAACTCGTTTTACTTTACAGTCTCTTTTAAAGTGGAATAACTTTTGATCCAAGCTCTGTAAATTATTGTTAAATATTCGGTGGTACTTTTGAACGCAATGTAGGTTAATTTGTATTTTTATTTTGAGTCACGTTTTATTATTTTGAGTTATGGGCAATACATCATTAAGCAAATCTTCATAGCCTGCCATTTTTCTTTTTCACTTTTTTGCATTACATTTTCTATTTACTAGTTTCTGTATTTTCCGCGTATATAATTTGCTCTTATACTGATACTTATGTAGTGTACTAAAATTATTTTCCCGTCAATAGACGAATAAATAAGTAAATATCCCGATTGGTTATTTAGCTTAAGTTTACGTCTTACGTTCGGTTACGGCAATTATAGAAAAGGAGCAAGTTGATCGGTCATCGTATTACTTCTTACCGCGTCTAATCTGTAGAAGCCGCGACAAGTTAACGCGTTATACGAAGAAAATTTTTGTTATAATACCGCGATTATGCAAAGTGTTTTTTAATTAACGTCCACTGATTGCATACAGCTATTTCTGAATAAAATCCAAGTTGAAAAGTCATGAGCCATTTCTTTTGCGACGCTTAATACTATTTTGCACAGCATCGCGGAGAAAAGTGGTTTAGGCTTTTTCGACTTCATTTTTAATAAGAAATAAAACACTGTATAATTAATGCTCGCCAATTAAAAAAAAAGAACTCTGCATATATTTATATACTAATATTTATATTCATATATCCATTTTTTCCTTGTAGACATTTAAACTTTTTTTCCTTCTGTTTTTCAAGGAAGATACACTTCGCAATCGAAATTACAAAATAACGTAACTTGTTACAAACACTCGTTAAATATTCAACAGTAATGATCGAAGTAAAGAGTCGGGAAGTTGACAACGTTTAATCTCGACGGAAACGTCGATCGCACCGATTGATTCAACAAGATCATCAAATTTGGCTTAACGCCTCAAATCAATACGATAATCCCGCTATTTGGATCACCGCGTTTTTCGGTTGACTGTACATTCTTGTGAGATATGGGAAAAACGAAGTATAAATTGAGTCACTGACGTCGATGAAAATCCGTCATTAGATGGCTGCTCAGCGGAGTTATCGAGGAATACGACAGCTCGTTTTTAATCAACGCCACCGAACGCCACGTACATCTACATTTTGTCCTTGTTTCGTGCAACGATAACATGTTTCAGCCGGAAAAATAACACATAATGTTATATTAAATATCACGTACATTTAATATTTCATTAGTCGAGAGCACCAATAACAATCTGAATCTAAACACTTGGGTATCTCGGAATCTTACATACATTGACATTAATATTTAATGGCTGTAATAAATGATTTATAATAAAAAAATGTTTTACCGTATACACCAAATACAAATAAATAATAATAATAGTTTATAATAATAAATAGTAAAAAATATAAAATATAAGCAGAGAGACAGATAAATAACAATGATAAAATAACAATGATAATTAAAAAAACAAATAAGAGAAAAAAGACAATGACAATTACGATATTATTGAAATCGCTATTTTTTCATTATCTTAATGGTTATTTATTCTACTGCAATTTTCTATCTTGTAACACCAAAAAAATTATCCTTCCCGCCAATAAAGCGGCATTATTATTATTATCTAATCATTGACATAACCGCTTAATGAGCTCGCACTTCCTCTCCCCTCCTTAAAGGAAAAAAATCCGAAACGTAATGATCAATGATTGTGCGGGAAACACGCGTTAGTCAGATAACTCACGTAGTTCCTCCAAAATGAAATATCGGCAAATACAGAAGAGAAAGAACGGGATTGAGAATCACTCGAAAATGGCGCACGCGCGATGAAAATAACGACGATAAGCCGCGGGCAAATACGCGGCTTGAGAATCAAATTCGATAAGCCGTAAAAGCTGCTTTCGCTGATGTAATACTCCGACGATACCCTCGCGCGCTGCTCGATTTTCGCACGGCGACGAAACAAGGTATATTACACCGACGCACTCGTGCGCGTCGTCGCGCACGTGACACGTGCGCGTCCTCGGACACGTCGCGCGTGTCGCTCACGGACGCTTTTTAATGCGCGCGCGTTAATTGCCGTTCAAGAGGAGCGATGTAATAAAGTTCCTCAAGTAAAAGGGAATCTGATCATCTCTGACCTCTTACCGATGAGTCTACTTTCTTATCTGATAAAAAACGGCGGAACTGAGGATCGCTATATAAATTGACTCTGTTTGTCCTCCTATTGTCGATTCTATTTATCTGACTGATTTTTTTTTCTTTATTCTATTTATATAAGACTATTCATAAAAATAGAGGTAAATTTCCTTTAGTTCAGAAGGCTCATCTAATAACCTTGACATACATGATAGAGGACATCTTTCTGAGTAACCTTCAGAAGTTTCATGCATAGAATGTAATTTTCTGACACCGTTTATATCTAATAAATAAATACGTGATGCATGCTATGTGTAAATATCCATCACCGCCAAGGCTTAGTCCTCTGTTTTGGTTTTTTCGAAATTTTTTTTTTCAAATGTGTTAAGCACTTTTGCTCGATGTATGTATGTTTGATATTAGTAGTCTCCGTCAGTTTGTCGTATAACCGTGTGCCAATCAGTTGGATAATTTCAAGACAATTTCTCATATTTCCAACATGAATTTGCACAAATTTATCTATATGACATACAATTTTGTAATAATTTTATATGATGTACAGATACAGGTGACCATGGGTAAAGAATTTTATTCCTCTCTGCTGGTTGATCTAATCTAACCTAAACCCACGCTCTCCTCGTGAATAAAAGCTGTAACTTTGCGTAAATTCAAAATTACGCAAAGAAATAGCAATTTTTTGTCAGTTGAAGAAATAAGATAGAGTAGCGTTGAGTATAACTGTTACTGACAAGGAGAAGGTGAGTTTCGGTTAGATTAGGTTAACCAATGAGGGGGAACAAAGCCCTCTCCCATAATCACCTGTACATCATCATTTTTACAACAAATTATATTCCCCAAGATTAAGAATAAATGTCACTTTTTCAAATTTCCTTGTTCATAACTTTTTAATAAACCATGAGCGACTTTTTTAATAAACAATGAGCTAAAACCTTCTCAAAGTTATTCAGGAAGATATTCTCCATCATATATGTCAAAGTCGAGATCATCGGAGAAGCCTCCTCTAAAGGGGAGTTTTATCTAAAAATAGCCATCTTTCTTAACTTCTTAAAAATTAATTTTACTATTATTTTATTATTATTTATTATTTATCTCTCACTTTAAAATATTTAGTTAGAACTAAATGGAAAAATTAATTTTTAGGAAATTAAGAGAGATTTCTACTTTTATAAATAGTTTTATGTAAATAAGATAAATGACATATATCGAGTGTCCCAAACTAACGGAGACAAATTTCGTGAGTGCGCAGAACGGATTAAACAAAAAAGTCCTCAATCATTTTTGCATACAACATGAGCAAAATTTCGAGTTATTAATTACTGAAAATGACTATGTATAGAGGTTTCTTTAATTAATAATTCAAAAATTAATTTGCATATTATTTGCAAAATAGTAAAGTATATTTTTGTTCAGAGTGGCCTGATCTATAAATATATGACAGCTGTTACTTCCAGCGACAGGTTCAAGGTTCGAGATTCATGATTCAATATACTGATGTCTGTGATTAGGTATAACAACTGTTATATAATTAGGCCATTAGGCCAGTAGATTAGGTCATTCTGAACAAAAAAGTTCTGAATTATATTGCAAATAACATGTAAATTTTTGAGTTATTAATTAAAGAAGCCTTTGCACATGGCCATTTTCCATAATTAATAACTCGAAATTTTGCGTATTATTGCAAAATAGTAGAGGACTCTTTCGTTCACCTGAATCCGTTCTACGTCCTCACGAAGTTTACCCCTGAAACTGGAACATTTTTATATTCTCAGAAAATGTGCCTAATCTCGATATGTTATAGACATTCATAGATAAGAATATTCTAGTGACAAACTAGACGTCATTTTTCACCCAAATGTCGGAAATGGCCAGACTTTCACTTGAAAGAATTTGCAATCCATCGACAATAAGCACCGAGCATCCACGCGATAAAAAAGAAAGGCGTGATAAAGAGCATGTTCTAAAAATAACAATAGTTATAACAACACGCGCCGCCTGGGACGCGGATGAATCACCGCGCACTCTTCCCGAGACGATCTCTCCTCCCGCGCGAGGATCTCTCTCCTCGCGTTCGATGTGCTTCGAATTGGCCATCGCGAAGAATGCATTATGTAAGCTCCCGCGGGAACATCGCGCGATCTCGCGATTTCGCCTTGCAACCGTATCGCACAGGACGCGCCAGCGCTTATTGAAAACGGCGTCCATGTGCTCCTCCGCCTTCTCCTCTTTCCCCCCGTCGTCGAGTCGAGCTCTTTATCGCGGTATTTGCCGTGATTTCGCAAATCGATTCAACGCGACCAGCGACCGTGTGTTTTCCCGACGACGTTTCCCTCGAAGCAATGTTTCGAAAACTGCATATCTTGTCTTTTCGACGCCTTCTCCGAGAGTTCAGAACTCCGTTTCTATGATTTCAGATAAAGAGAGAGAGAGAGAGAGAGAGAGAGAGAAAGAGAAATCGAGAAAAAGATAAGAGAGATATTTTATTAATATTCTAAAACACACCCTCTAATAATTAAATAATAGCAATAATAAATAATAATAAATAGTAAGTATATGCGTGAGAAAAAATACGAAGATATGAATATAAAGAAATATACAGAGAAAGATAAAAAGAAAAATAAAGAGGAAGCGAGAGAGAGAAAAAGAGAGAGATGGAGAGAGAGAAAAAGAGAGAGATGGAGAGAGAGAGAGAGACTCGAGGGAATTAAAATGGGAATTTACGTCGATCGGGCGTTCCGTACCGTAAAGTATGCGTCACGAAACGGAGACAAAAGCGGAACGACGACGGAGTACGAAAACTCGCATGCCAAGAATCGACTTCTCGGCAAACCAGTCGCGCTTACCAATTATTCCAGACCGATGTCTCACAGAGGACAGTAAACGCATATAATTTACGTGCGGGCACCGTGCGTCGTAACGTCATACTCGCTCGTCATGTCCGTCCGCCATGTTCCGCCATGTCGTGCCGAGGCGATATTTCCCGCGGAGCGAATTGCATCTTCGATTGATCGATCGGAGCTGCTCGTTTACGTCGCAACGTCGCACATTTTCCAGCCAATCTCGTTAATGACGTGACTCGTTCGAGAGAGAAATTATCCACACCTTCGCGGTCTTTGATGGACAGCAACTCGTCGCATCACGACTTGCGACGTCGATCGCGTAGACGAAGTTCTAACGACACGAATAATTATATCGAAGGCACGCGTCTCCGATGTGCATTTTTCTTCCTCTCTCCCTTTCTCTCTCTTTCCCTCTTTTTCTCTCTCTTTCTTAATATAACACGACCAGCACAACGAACGAAACCGATATAATTTCCTGCTACGTAAGTGCACGCGTGCGAATGTCATGTTCTGCTTGATTCGCTTCGCGAATCGGGATCATTATCGTGATCACAAATCGATCTCGGCGAGGAATCGAAATCCGGACAGCGTAAATTCCTGAAAGATTTTCTAAAAACGTTCAAAATACGTTTTAATAAACGTCTAAAAAGGAGTGGCTCTTCTTTTCGAAGTTTGCGCTGTTTGGGAATTTTTCTGCACTTTTTGCAAATTCCCTGATCAGCAAACCGCATCGGCAAATCAACAGTCGCGAAAAAGCGACGAGAAATGAGAAGAGAGCTCGATCCGACGACGGGAAGAGCGCGCGCTACTCGGGAAACACCCAGGAAAGCTCCCAGGACAGCGATCATATCATTTTCCCTTAGGCCGGAAACGTAAAAAGTGAGAGTCCCACGTGTGTGAACTCTGCGATCGCGTAACTTTTCGTAACTGTGAAAATGTGAAACTTTTCACACGTGAACTTCTTCGTCCTCAACGCTGGGGCAACGTCCATGTAATTTTCCCTGAAGCGGAAATGTGAAAAATGAACATTTTCAAATGGTTTCAAATTAGAAAATGTCCACTTTCCTCGAGTTTATGCTAGAGAACATAATTTATTATCGATCAGGATGGTCGTGAATTGTTTTCCAGCGTGAGCTCATAACAGTGAAATATTTTAATTTGAAAGCATTTGAAAATGTTTACTTTTCTTCGGGAAAATTCATGATCGCATATCGTCATGATCGATACTTTGATGACGGAGATTTCATGAAAATGTAGATATTTTTCAGTATAATATACACAGAAAATTGCTAGATTCAAGAAAATAATTACTCCAATACTCGTCAGCTAACTTTTACCTGGGTTAAGTAACATTTATTTAATGCAAATAAAATTTCCCAAGTAAATCATCCAAGTAAAATATTTAACTGACCCAGGTAAAAAAAATAGCTATGAAATATTGGAGTAATTATTCACTACTTGAATAGCACTTTTCCCATGTAATTTCCTCGGTGTTCACGAGACACCGAATTAACATTCATGGCTATAGAGCCTCTTTGCAAACGAACAATACGGCATCCCAATCCACGATATCGATCTAAGCTTTTTTTTTATTTCACTTCCCGCGAGACACAGCTAACTACGTAGCAGCTTTGCGATTCGCGCGAAATCGGAATGAGCGAAAATTGCGAAAAGTTCCACCGTGAAGTAGCGAGCGACCGCTGCGTACGGAAGAGAAAATCCCGATTACGTGAAAACGAGGGAAGAAAACGGCCGTTTCGTCCGTCATTTCGACGCTCTCGCGCGACCTTCCGCAGCGCCCGGGGGACCGGTCGCCGACGACGAGCGCGCGCGCGTTTTCGCAAAAGCAAGGATCGGCTGACTCACGTCCGAGATTACTTCGCGCGAATCATCGCTCGCGCGTCGGTCACTTCGTCAACACCGAGCTGCACCATCAGCCCCGGAGCCGCGATGGCATGACGTTCCCATTCACGAGGACGACGTCGTCCGGTCGTCGATGAGTCGCTGCTGGTGGACTACCGACGACGAAGAATTGCTGCGAAGAATGCGACGCGCAGATAAGAAAGGAGTCATTCGCACACTCGCGTGGTATTCCTCGGCAATATGTGCACGCTCCGATCACAACACCGATCCTTCCTCGTACGGGTGACCGAGAGAGGAAACCAAGCAACCACCTGTCGATACGCTCTTCCCCAGGGAGAGGAACGCGCGGTCTCTCTTTTCGCGGGAATGCTGCGCGACGCGGACACGCGCGAGCGACCTCGCGCAGCCGCTGTCGGTTATCTTCCGCCGTTCCTACGACACTGTCGACAGATACGTTGACGACTGGCGTCGTCGTCGTCGGTGACGCCACGCGGCTGCCGAAGGACGATGCGAAATCGCTTCTGGAGTGGTGGAATCGTGGAAGCGCGGCCGTTCTTCTCACGAGCGAACAAGCAAACGAGAGAGAGAGAGAGAGGAAGAGAGAGGGAAAAAGGGAAAGGAGATAAAGCGGAGACGAGGAAAAGATCGCGAAAAGTCCGCGTAATCTGCAACACCCGTTGGCTGGTGTACGCGTTAATTCGGAACGCGGTAATGCCGTGTCGCGCTCCGATCGCGCCGATTCTTCAACATGTCGCCCACCGCGCACGCGCACTGGCTCGCCGCGCCGGGGGACACTGCGCGAGTCGCGATAAAAACGCAAATATACCTTTATCTGTTTTGTTTTCTTTTTCTTTCTTTCCCGACCCGTGCAAACGTACGTACTACGCGTGCCTCTTGCGCGATACGACGAGACGCGCCATAAGACGAAGCGGATCCTGCGGTCACGCGACAGGAAATTTCGACACTGTTCGCTCCGCGCTGACGTCTGCCGACTACCGAGGGAATCAAAGGCGCAACGACGACGACGATGATGGCATTATCGTCGTTCGATCCCGATCGCGCAACCGACTGCGGTCGTGACATCAAACACGCTCGGAAATCGCGCCGTGGTCCCACTCTCTCTTTGCTTCTCTCTCTCTGTCTTTCTTTCTTCCTTCTCTCTTCATCAACCGCGAGACTCGTTAGCGACATTCACGAGAGAAAGGAACCTCCAACGCCTACAATACGCAAAAGCTACTTTACACGCTTCCCGTATTTTTTCGCGGTCACGTGATATCCCGTTCTTCTCTCAGATGACTAGGCATTTCTGGCAGTAATGGCGCAAGATATTACTAAGAATCGATGAGAAAATATATCGATAGGGTATAGCAATTTGCTTACTGTCGATCCTTTGTTACTAACGCAGTGGACTGAGAAATTACTGAAATTTACGACTTAAAGAAAACGGCGGCACAGCGGGACACTTTTTTTGAAGGACTGTGGAATTCACGACGCCCAGGATTCTATTCCACTCCCTCTTGTCTACTTATTAGATGTTTGTTCAACATTTCCTCGTTTAATCGGCTACAATATTCTTCAGATATTCTCTCCATGTGTTCTTCCTGCAAGTTCCTCTCGCGTCATCTCGCCTCGATCTCGAGGTCCATGTTCGCTTCGCGCGCGCGAAAGATCTTGTCGCAGCACGAGTTGCAAATCGCGCGGAGTCGTTGGTGCAGAAATCGAAAGTGTCTTCGTGAGGGAGAAACGCAATTTCCTAGATGGCAGAAACTTCTAAAAAACACCCGATTTCACTAATGTCGAATAAACTTCAACCTGAGTTTGAGTTGACTCGCACCAAACTCAAATCAAACTAATCGATGAATAATAAATAATTACCGACACATCAATTCCCAGTTTATAATTTGTCGTTCGATAATAATCGAAAAATTAGTAATTTCTATCTACGTTAACAAGGCAGAGCCGACAATACTTGACTTGCAGGAATTTTAAATCGTCGATTAAATTAATCAGAATGAGTCACCTTTAAAATCTCTTCAAATAAAGAATAAAAAACGGTCTACATTGAAAGTAAGCAGTAATAAGAAGTAAGGTATTGGCTGGGGCAGTAAGTAAGGAACAGGAAACGAAAATGATCCATCTCATGCTCGATGTTACGCTTCATTCCAGCGAAAAACTTTCTTACTCCCTACTCCGCAGTCTTACCATCTTCAATGTAGACGGTTCTTCAGGATTAATTCAGGTTGAAGTTTAATCGATACTGATGAAATCGGGTAAAAGTAATCTTAAACACTTCTAAAAAGACATCCCGCTTTTCCAAATGTCTTTTAGACGTTTTTAGGAAGTTTTTTTTCCTGAAGTTTCTCTTACCTTGCCAGGAAAAAAAGGAATCTCAATTACTCGATTGTGCTTCGATTACTTCGAAATCGTTAATCTTTCTTACCATAAATATTTCTTACTCCACGGAAACATCGAGATCTAAAATTCCCGATGACAATTAACGGCTGAAGATATTGGAACTAAACTTCATCGAGGAAGAAACTGATGATTAAAGCCGATAAGACGTTGTATTCTGTTCGGTGGATTTCGAATCGAACGGATTCCTCTGAGATTTTAATTGTCAGTGTACTAATTGCATGAGCGTTGATTCTACGTAAATATGTAAAAGCGCTGTGATTAATCACATGGTGCGCATGCTGCCAGATGATGTTGCAATATCATTAAAAATATATGTACATAAATGATAAGTACACGAATACATAAGTAAGAAGTGATAACTTCTCCAGCGTCAATCTGTACTTTCCTCTATTGCGTTCGCTGTCGATAGAAACTGTCATATCGCAACCGGTGGCACCACATTGAGCGCGAAATGCATTCTATTCGCTTTATAGTTATTAATTAGGTCGTGTAATAAGTAATATTGAATTTTTCAGATAAAATAAAACCATTGTATTCTTAAGTTCTAGTAATTTTATGAAACGGTGCACTCAAATAATTTTGCAGTCATAGCGGAAATTATCTAGATATGAAAAATTAACTAAAACGAATAAATGTCTAGTAAACATTTCAATGTCATACGTGTGTTACATCTATTACAGGCGATAGAGACGGAATTTTTATCTGAACTATTTGTCTAATTTAGCAAGAGAATATCTCTGTGGAGTTCATTCGGATTAAGGCCAGTCACATTTCTTATTAAAAGCTAGTAACAGGACTGAAATTTTCTCGCACATATTGCTAGAATGCTGCTGCTGTAAATTATACATATCAGAGACAATTTTCTAGCAGATACAGAAAACAGTGATACATTTTACCTATGACATTTAGAATTCTAGCTGACATTTAGAATTCTAGACCGGCGTAAGATTTGCTTGAGCGTATATGCACTGCTTTGATCTACGATCTGCCAACCTTCATATAGATTGTTCCATAAAATTATAAACAATTATATTACAATATATAAAAACATGTACAATCGTATTATTTTACCTGAAAAATTGGACGTTACTTATCACACAACACAATAAAATTATATACTGAAAAAAACAGAGAAAGAGAGAGAGAGAGANGAGAGAGAGAGAGAGAGGGGGGGGGGCGAGAGGGGCGAAAGAAAGAAATTCAAAAGCGTAGATTAAACTTTTCTCGCGAGAAGCTTCGCTAAAGAAGAATAGACCTTCTGAAACCTGAAGAAATAATAACGCCTTCTCCTATCTTCTACGCAAATTCTCCGCATCATATCTGCTATAAGTCATCGTTAGGAAATTTTGCGAAACCCGTCGGATTTATTCTACACTTTCGACTTATGTTTTCATGCACAAGAAATCATCACTGTCCCGGTTGCACGGAAATCGCGGTCGCACCCTGTATAGTATTTTTAATATACACGTATACGTACACAATATCTGTAATATTTCTCGGACGTGTCCCTCCGAAACTACATTATTAACGTCGTCGTCTGGGTTCGATCCAAAGTCGGAAAAGCAGATTGAGATAATTATCTGCTCACACGCACACATTCACATGTATATATGTATGTATACGTAATAATCTTTACGCATAAAGTATCGCCGTTGAATAAGCTTGTTTTGATTCGCCTTTGATTAATACTTATTTGCATCTCGCATCGTATCATCTCTCTCACGCACGCACACACACACACACACACACACATGCAATCATGGCAAAGGGCATCTTCAGTGTGGTAACATGCTTATCGATAAACATTGCTCACATCTTTTTCTCCTTTTTTCTTCGTTAAGAAAAATTATTCGTATCACGCGCGCACATCGGCGTGCACAAAATGCGGCCAGGATGTTCCTCGCGACAGCTTTCCAGGAATCTTTAATCGAGAATACTTGGGGAACACACTTAAAATCGTTTCTTGGAACATGTGCCACGGCAGGTGCGGGCGACCGTGTCGAAGGAGAACTGCAAAACAAATCAGAAGCGTTCAACAACGGTGAGAAATAACACGCGGGAAAGAGCACCTCCGTGTCATCGGGACACCGGGTATAGCACGCGACTTTAATCGCTAAACTGAAATATCAATATTAGCCCTCTCGACGTTGATTAAACTGCGCTTCCTCACCCGTATGCGGAGCATATCTGGTTATCTTCCCTCTCCCCGAGACCCCCCATGCAGATCGAACGATAAAGATATCGAAATCGACCTGCGATCGACGTACGATCGATCGGGTATTCGCAATGATTTTGTCCTAGATTAGGCCAGCGATCGTGTAACTCTTTCCTAAATGCGATAACGTAAAAAGTTCAACATTTCCATAGTTGAAAACGTTGCACAATCAAAATCAAGTCAAGTTTGCGCACAAATTTTCACTTTCACGTTTTCGTCCCGGTAGAAAAGTTAAATGATCGTTATCCAAGGTGATAATAATGTAACTTTTTTCTAGATGTAGAAACATGAAAAGTTCCACATTTCCATAGTTCAAAACGTTATACGATCGCTGAGACCGTTAAGTTTACGTGAAACTTTTCACATTTCTCTTCCTGTAAAAAAAAAAGTTACATAATCGGGATTTAGAATAATGGCTGCGTTCAATAGATAATGGCTGCGTTCAATAGAAAAAGCAGCTAGACGCTTTCCGCTATGTTACTAGCAATTGTTAAGATTTTCTGCTGAACAATATTCAGCAATTTACGCTACTCCAACATACTTATCAAGTGGCTCAGCGTATTATAAGTATGCTGGAGAAGATGACCGCTTAGTAAATATGTCAGAAAAATGTAAACCGCCAGCATCGTTCAAAGGAAAATCTTACAACAGTTACAAAGCTGCTGGCAAAGTGTTTAGTAAGCTGCTTTTTCTAATGAACGCAGCCAACATTTTCAAAAATGCGGAAACGTGAAAGTGGGAAGATTCATATTGCCATAGTTCAAAAAGTTACACGATCGCCAAAATCCTTGAGTTCGTGTAAAATTTTTCACCTTTCGCATTTCCGTTCTTATAGAAAAGTTGTACGATCATTATCCAGAGTGGTGATAAAATAACTTCCCTACAAAAACGAAGACGAGTGAAGTCTCATATGGTTTCTCATATGGGGAAAAGTTTCATATTTCCATGGCCCGAAAAGTTACAAGACCGCTACAATCGTCGAATTCGTGTCGAACTCTTCATTCACTTTTTGCTTTCCCGTTCCAAAAAAAAAAAAGTTAACAACGATCGTCAACCAGAAGCAGAAACGGTCGAACCATTTCTTTCTTTCTCTCAAAAACCGGAGGAAGCGCGAAAACACAATTTCTTTAATATCGCCGAAGTTACTCGTCTCTTCAAAGAACAATGATTTCTCTTGGAATTTCTCAGAGGAAATATTAAATTTCAACATGTGCATTCAATTTTGCGTTGAAATCATTTCCTCTCGCATGCATCATCGGAGTATGACGATAGCCTTCTTCGTAGGATCACGCTGATAACCGCTGGGCGGCTTATCTTAATTGCATCGTTCCACATATTATTGTTATTATTATCCGAGATTGAGGAGTGACATCCGTGAGCAAAGATGAGGCTGTAACTCGTCGAACGAGGACAAAGAACTACCGCGAGGAATCTCGTGGTAGACGCGCTTCCAAAACACCGCGTTCCGTCCCGACTAATCCGTCAACCGTCGAGAGGAGTTAACTAAATAAAAACGAGCTTACAAGTATATATACGAGGCTAATTAAAGATTGAAGCTGATTAAAAGTTACCATGAAATTTAATCGTATCATACACACGCACGCACACACACACACTCCACCCACTCACTCGCACACGTATCGTCATACAATGTACATTTTTTTTTTCAATAAGTGTACAAAAGACTCTCCAGCACGGAACGTACGTAATTACAAACCACTCGCAGAACGTAAACATTCATAAATATTATCGTTAGACCGCGCGCGTGTGTGTATGTGTGTGTGTGCCGGTAAATCGCCGCATCGCCGACATCGCGGCGTTGTTAATTCGAAACTAAAAACACGCCGTCTAATTACACCTCGATGTGCCGCTACGCTATATTTCTTTCCGCTTTTTTTGCGTTGAATAACGCTTAAAGGAATCGCAACTTTTTTATCTTCTCATCTGCGCGGAAACGCAACGAACAGAGCGAACCAATGCTACGCCTAAGCAACGATGTAAACTTAAAGCTACGAATGCGTGAATCACTTAATCACGAGAGCTATCGCTAAGAGAGCGTGGATTATTAGCAAACGTGGAGATCACGAATGCGCGGTTGTTGACACTGCTGGTTTCTCTGTCGCTCTAACGGTGTTAACCGAAATTTAAGCCGTTGGGCAGCCTTCTAAAGGAAACGAATAAATGCAAGTGTAAAATTGCATCGGTAAAAGCATAGTTCAACAGTAGTGTTCTCACTTAAGGGATCGTGAAGTGAAGAAAAAAATATATATATATTTTTTTAGATATACAATGCTAGAGGACACTACTAGGAGCGCGCACCGGAAAATCATTGTTGCCATATCGGCGAACGAAAATAGTCAAAAGAAAGAAAAACACATACATGACACTGGTAAAAAATTGTAAAAATCAAATTCCTTATTTGTAACATATATATTTATAAAATAATTAATTAAAATTTTCAAATTAAAATATTCAATAATAAATAATGCAATGTAATTAATCCCTCTCTGTTGATTAAGAAAAGTTAATATTAAATATTATAATGATTATTATATATATATATAATTTGATTTGAACGCCTTTCCGCCAGTGTGAAGCAACACAAACACTTTCGAAGCTACCTCGAATCTTGACTTGCCAAGATGCGCAATCTCCGCGACGCAATCAGCCGTTTACGAGATAAAGTAACAGCGTACTACTACAGTGAACGCGTGTGGCAAGTGTGAGATTGCCGGTATGCACAACGGCGCCTACTACGTTTCCAGAAGTGGAGATCTCTAGGTATACAAAATAATTCAACGAAATAATTTCAACGCGCGACTTTGCGAATCGCGAATAACAAGAGGGGAGAAAAACTTTCGTACTCTCCTTCGTATATTTCGAATATTTTTACCTGCGCGACTCTCTCGTCTCTTTCTCCGTTAAGATCTCCGCTAATCCAGCAGTAATGTTTCAGTTAACTTTAATATAATATGCATCACTATCAGCAACATCGCAATAATTTATGTCCGAACAACTCGCGCGGTATACAATTATTAACTTTATCGTTACGGTAGTCGTTACGACGGTAGTAAGTAGGTTGTAGCCTTGTCTTTTTCTCAACATATTTTTCACGCTGAAAAAGCGATTGCGGCAGTCGGACGCGGAACGCGCACACACGACTACAGCAACGCCCGTTACCTGTATACGGTCGCTTTTCTCGGCCGGATTTTGCCTCAGCGAAAGCGCGTTGACATTGATATATTCACATCTAATTTTCCTGTTTATATAATGTGACGTTATATAATATTGTACGCAAAATCCCTATTGATTTGACGTATCAGACACCGTCTGAATGTAAACTCCCTTGGTCCGACGATCCCACCATGTCGACGAGTTGTTGTAACACCTTCGCGGAGTCTTCCTGCGTTAAACGCTGTCATCTGGAGGACAGAAAGGCACGTTTCAAATATATTTGGCAGATTAAAATCATCATTTCCGGCCGCGTGACGCACTCACCGTGATACCACCATTTTGTCTTTTTCGGATTTTTGTTACAGGTTTTTACATAGAACGTATTGTCCGGTGGCCTCTTCTGCAAACAAAGAGATCGTCTGGGTTACACGATTTCTGAATCAACAAGTCTAAAGGTCAGTCGATCGAAATTCGTATATATACAACTAGAGATGTTGTGATACCACTAATATAATACAGATATCGATGTTTATTTCAATACTGGATATTTTTATATCAGTATTTCCTTTCGATATTCGTACTTATATCAGTATTACTTTGTTTCGATACCTTTTCTATTATAATTTTACAAAACATACGAATTCTTTAAATATATAAAACCTTTATACATATATACAGGGTGTCCGATATGTTTCGTACATCCGCTCGTGTGCAGATAGGAGTTGAACTGGTAAATAAGGTAGACACATTATGCAAAATTTGCAATAGTTAATAAGGAATTAATTATTCTGTCTCAGCTAATGAGCGCATGGAGCGAGGAATCCTGTATATATGTGTATATATATATATATATCTTTATAAGTAATTTGCAAGACCAACACTTTCCTAATTTTTATATTTCCTTTAATTTTATTTTCAAGTTTCGATATCAGTAAATTTCAGTATCGAATTTTTGTTCTAATACTGATATCCCAATGATATCGATATTGATGAAATACTTTTGATTAAATATTCATTTTAATATTAGTATGGACACTATCGCAACATCCTTATATACAATGGCAAGGAATGGTCACCTTCTCTTTACAACTGCTGAGCATGGAGACGATGCTCAGGCAGACACTCTGCACGCTGAGGGCGGGCGACCAATCCTCTGTTAATATGGATAAACAAATGTGGCCGTTGCTGTAGACGTGTGGATGCACGGGGATATTTCCGCCGATGAACGTCACCTCCGGGGAGTCGAAGGGATACTTGGAGCTGAATTTGAACTGCAGCTGAAACAGCTCTCCCTCGTACAGCGTGCCCTTAGCACCCTCCATGTGAACGATCCATTGCGTCAGATTCTGCTCCGCTAATGCTCCGTCCACGTGTACACCTGGCGGTGGCTCACGTATCAGGGACATCAGTTCCTTCTGGAGTCTTCGCTGAAACACCAAGAGAATCATTCGATACATCTCTCACATGTACTAACACAAGTACTACAAATTATATGGGAGTAATCAATGAGATGAGAGAACAACAGAATAAACAAAAAAAAAATAGAAGTATACTTTAAATAGACAATCAATGGAAGGTGTCGGTATCAGGTTGCTTTTCTTCCTGATTAAATGAACTGAAATGTTGGAAATAATTTGACAAAAGATGTGACCCCAGCCTGGAAGATGGAATGAACATTAGGAATTATGAATATTATTCCATATTGTGAAAGCCTTAAACATCAGATTAATAGAAAGGTTAAATGAAAAGGCCAATGTGAGTCAATGTGAACTCGGAACATGAACCAAGTAAAAAAAATGTTTAATGATCATCTTAATATAATAAATACAGTGGTCGCACACTTTTCCAAACATACGTTTTGGCCAACAATATGGATTCTTTTCAATGGATACTGAATCAACAATAACAATAACTTCAACAATTATTCTCTCTATGTACCTTAAATGCACAAATATGTATATATCCATATATATAAGTAAGCATAATTAAACACTGAAAGCTTCAAATATCAAATGAATGAAAAGATCAAATGAAAAAGCCGATATGATTCAATATATACCTGTTACGTGAATCAAATAAAAAAATGCTCAATAGTCTCTTTAGCATAATAATCTGGTAAATCTGAAATAACAGCAACGTAACAATATTATAATTTCCCACTCAACAATACAACCATTTCACACTACAGGTGTTATATTCCCCTTTTATAAATTTTCATTGTACTATTTTTAAGTGGAAAATCACAACATTGATGTGATATTACTTGAGTACTATGCAAAATTCCTAAACATCACTTCAGTCTTTTTTCAATCATTCATATCATTCCTCAATGAGTTTATTAATAGATACCTTAGATATAATATCAATAGATATCTTTGAAGCAAATAAACCAAATAAACACCAACTAACAATATCACACACGCATCAACATATAATGTTACAATTTCTCACTCAACAATAAAACATGCGTTGTGTATAACAATTATATAGTTAAACAGAAAATTATAACATCGTTGTAATACAGTTACAGTTCGCTGCTTTTACTGGGAAATAAATAACTGCGAGATGATAAGTACGAAACTCTAGCAGAGTTATTCCTCCTGTACACCTCGGGTGTGTGAAAGTATATCCGCCGTATAGGTAAACATAATTGTACACCAACAGCGCTAAACGATCTCGTTTTCGGGACTCGATCCGCGAACAGGTACGACCTACGACGATTCGAGGAATTGTTCGTCTTTAACACACCCATACGAGAGAGAAAGAAAGAGAGAGAGAGAGGGAGAGAGACAGAAAGGCGCACGACGAGCTGTGCGGTTTCAGAGGGCATGCATTTTACATCGCGCTCACAACGACCGATCGTTCGTCTATCCGGGATCTCCCCATCGATTCCACGTCGAAGGCGCGCGCGATCTTTCTCCCCACGGTCGCGTCGCGAGCGTCCACGACTCTTCGCGATCCTCGCCGTGTCGCATGGGCCGGGGTGTATATAGAAATACGCGGTAAAAGCGCACCTCCGCGGCAGACACGAACGTACCTTCGACGGGGACATCGCGGCCATTGTCGTTAAACCGCTCTCCATCGGGCAACATAACCACGGCTCATCGCGACGACGCGAGCGTTCGTTTATTTCGCTGGTAAGCGCGTCCGCCTGGCGCGAGGGCGTCTCACATCTCTCCGCTTGTGCCTCCGTCTCTTCCTGCGTGATGTCCGATCGAGAAGCGAGAGCGCGACGTTCAAGAGCGGCGGCGACGACAACGATCGACGATAATTCCGCACGAAGTCTGACACACCGTTGACAGCCGCGTTCGTTCGTGCAGCGCGATTAACGCGACGGTATTTGGGAGGGGGGAAGGGGGAGGGGGAGACGGTCGCACAAAGCGCACGATTGTCGCATCAAGTGTAAAGGCTGACCCTCACTGCGTCCGTTCGGACGCGGGCATGAGTCTTCCCCGAATGGGACGGGAAATTACGATAAGATTAAAATATACGAAAAAGTGATGAAAACGTGAATTATTGTTATTATTATACTTGTTTATTCATCATTTTGACGTCATCGTGATTTTAAGTTCTACCCGGGTCAATCTTCCGTTACGAAATGTTCCTCGGTGCCTTTTTTGTCCGTTTCTACCGTCACGGTTTCAATCTAATCGGTGATTAACTCAATGAAACTGACCAATCGCATTGGCCAATTGGTCGAAGTGATCAGTGCGATTATCCAACTCCGTTGAAACAATCAGCGATTAAATTTAAATTATGATGGTAGGAACGGTACGCGTTGAAATTGTCGGTTGCGTTCGGAGAACACGAGGGTTGTGCAAAAGTTTAGTAACGATTATCTACGATGGTGCTTATGCTTTTAGATCCGCCAATCACGTCCGTTTTCCAACGATTCGTTGATCACTCGACTAGTACTTTTATTGGACGCAGTCATTCGCAGTATCCGTCGCTCTAGTTCAATATCATCGTGAAAAACAACCTTTACATGACAATGGTAATGACAAACCTTTATACATGCGTACAGTGATGGACAAAAAAGTTGCAACACTTTTTCTATAAATTTCACAATGTATCCCGTATCCAATAGGAAAACGTATCTTCTGTTAATAACTAAGAAAGAAATTCTTCTATTGGACATGGGATGCGTTCAGAATCTTATTAAAAAAAAAGTGTCGCAATCTTCCTGTCTAGCATTGTACACACACAAAGCTGTTCCTTTCAGATGTAGCAGTACCTCGAAAGTCATTTCCTCCCCTTAATGCTCAATTTTATGTAATAATTTTTTTATTTAACGATTTTATTAATCGCGGTTTTATATAATAATTTTATATTAGAATAAACAAAAATTCTCATTATAACAATAACATTGGTAATAAAAATAATAGTTTTATTGAATACTTAATAGTAGAGTCGTATATAAAATATATAATGAGTAACGATTATAAGTGGTGGGCAACCAAATACGGAGAGAAAGCTGTTATTATTACCTTACCATAAATTAAAAAGAATTAGAATTAAAGAATTAAAAAGAATTAAAAAGAAAAATCTAAGAAAGTAACAGATAAGAAATTTATTGGGAGTGTCACAATTCACACATAAGACGGAATACAATGAGCAGTAGCAGAGCGAAAAGCGCGAGGAGGGAGAAAGCGCGGTCTGCGGTTCAATTAAAACGAACAGACCCATCGACACTGTCCCTCTGTGCCGAGAGTGCAAAAAATCTCCAACCGACAGCTGCGAGCGCAAATTCGCGAGCGGAGAAATTCATGTTCGCGATACTGACGTTCGATTCATTCGTGCACTCCGAGCGCTCTTCGGGCCAGAACGATGAGACAGACGCGATGGTAATTCGATGTCATTGGAGCAGGAAGGCGAGAGCGCGGAAAGTGCAGAGGCGGAACGGGAGTGCAGACGAGTGCAGCTCCACTCGATCCGCGACAGACGTACGCGCGTGGTACGGGCGGAAGGAGGCAAGAAGCGACTCGAGGAAAAAGTGCGGGCGGTGCGATAAGGGCACACGTATATGCGTGTATGTGTGTGTGTGTGTACGCGCACGAAATTCGCGTGTTTCGCAGTTTGGCGGCCCTGATTCGCGATCGACGTCGTCGTCGTCGCGTTGACGCCAAGTGTTGCAATCAGCTGCGGCGTGCGTGCGCGATCGCGATCTCACGGATCTCTCTCTCTCTCTCTCTTTTTCCTTCTCACTCCCCTTCTCCCTCCGTCTCCTTCTTTCTCCGTCGACGACGAAATCGTCCCGTATAGCTCTCGCGCACTCGACTCGCACGTCTCGCTCGCTCGTTCGCGAGATCGCCGTCGATACTGTCTCAATCGCACGCACGCACGCTTCGCTCCGCTTCTACTCGCGAGAACCCGATACGATATCGAGCAACGGTGGGTTCGCGCGTGATACACTCGAGGATACACGACGACGACGACGACCGTTGCGCCTCTCGACGTCGCGGTAAGGCCGACGAGGAGCGGGAGATGCACCGTCGTGGCCGTTAATCGACGAGAAGGCCGCGCGGGTCGATGAGGACGACGAGCAGCATCGGGCAGCGTCAGCCACGTCAGAATGCAGGCGAACGACGAGGCCTACGATAAGAATCCCGCCGCGGAGGACATCCGCGTCTCGTTCGCCGAGGATGACGACGAGGCGGACCGCGCGTCCACCTCCGGCGAGAAATCGCCCGCGGAACCAGCCCCGTCCACCCTCGACGACGACTACGGCTGTGAGCACTACAAGCGGAAGTCCAAGTTCGTGGTAAGGCCTTGCCGATCCTCCGGAGCGTCGTCGACGATTCTAGTCGTTCGCGTTGCCCTTCGTTCCTCGTCGACGCTGATTCGCCGATCGCGCTTATCGATGAGAAATCTCTCTCTCTCTCTCTCTCTCTCTATATATATATATATGCTCACTCGATTTTGTGATCTTTGCGCTCTCTTGTGTGTACTTCAACCGTTGGCGGGAAGAGTCTCGATATGTGTGTGAATTTTTCATTGAAGTCAAATAGCCAAATTCGATTCGCTCGTACGCTACACCGGATTGGCGCACACTGAAGACTATTATATACGAAACAGTTGTCTAAATAAAAAAAGCATACGAACATGTTGAACGATTAAACATTTAATATTATCATATTATTCAGCGGAATATATACATTGAATTATTTTCGTTTTCAAAAGGCTTATCAATCACTCACAATATAATGTTATTACATTTGGATAATGGCCTTTAATTGTACAATAGCCTTTTAGTGTGCACTAATTCAATGTACTACGGGTGGTAGAATTTGCTAATAGATTAAAATGTTCGTAAACTGTTTCCTTTCATTATACGCTATTTAAAAATGTCCCAGTGAATACCAATTAACAGTAATGTTACATCAATATTGTAATTTTCCAGTCAATGGTGAAATATAGTGATATAGCATATGTATGTAACAGTTGCATTGTTGAAAATGACGATGCTGATGTAACGTTACTGCTAATTGGTGTTTACCAAGACACTTCTTAAAGTGTGTAGCAATATAATAATAATAATGATAGTAATGTAACGATATAATAGCGACAAGACAGCGTTGTGTAGTGATAATAATATAATATAGTATATTTGTAACATAATAGCAAATAGTACAATGTAATAATACAATAACAGTAACTTAAGAGTAGTAATAATATAACATAGCAATAACATAATAATAATGATGGTAACAATGGTGATGCAAATAATATTAATACAACGATAACAAAACTCTTCGTTGTTTGATAGATTATTCTTTTGAGAATAATTTTATCAATATATTTCTTGAGAATAATTTATCAATGAACTGTGGATTTATCTCAGAATAATGTTCGTGAATTATCTCGCACGTGCCTGTGTGTTTCATGCGCAGACTCCATGCTGCAACAAGGTGTACACATGCCGATTTTGTCACGATGAGCAAGAGGCGCATACGGTGAACAGGAAAGAAGTGACGGAATTGATATGCGTCCTCTGCGACACCCGTCAGCCCGTACAAGCCACCTGTCAAAATTGCCATTGCCGATTCGGCAAGTACACATGTCTCGAATGCAATCTCTTCGACGACGAGGATAAGAATCAGTACCATTGCGACGGTTGCGGCATATGCAGGGTCGGTGGTCGCGACAGATTCTTTCACTGCGCCAAGTGCAATATGTGTTTGCCGGTTCAGCTGCGGAACGGACATACGGTAGGATATAATGCGCAACAGGCATACTCGCGCGACAATCTAATCAAGGTACCATCAAGGGTGGATCATTGGAAAGTTGCTGAAACTAAGCAGTTATTGCTATGTTTGTCTTCCGGTTTGAAGCCGCGTTCTTTGTGAATTCCTTTCCAACGTTTCTCATTTTATCAGGAAGAGGAGTAACTTTAACTGAAATATTCACGAAGTTCCATGACAAACAAATTCAAGGAGGAAATAAATCTTCAAGAAAGTGACTCCAACCCGGAGGGCACACTTAGCATTTCCCTTCACATCATGAAAGACTCAAAAAATATTAATTATCAATATTTTTCAAATATTAAATCGAATACCTAGTAAAGAATCGTTTTTTTAAGTTTCACCTCAAGTTGGTACAAATGTACTTTCATGATTGCCTGTAGTCAAATAATCACAAATCATTATTTATTATTCTTTCATCACTCATCGGTAAATCTAATACTAAAAGTATCGCTCGCTCAAAAGTAACCTTTAGTCACACTGTAAAAATTGTGCTATATATATTAATTTAAATCGTGTGATTGTAGTATTATATGTATATTAAATATGCTAAAAGAACATGCTTCGGAGCAATTTCACATTTTGTGTTCTTACTCCTAAAGTAAGATAATTAGATTTGTGGTTGAAATAGCGTAACCTTACAATAGGAAAGTGATTTCTCGCTAACAGTTTAGTTTCAAAAGTTTCTGAGAAAGTTCCTGAAAGAAAAATAAAGTTGTGTAATAATCGTCAACGTTTACTAAAATCTGTTATATTCATTTTGCGTCTTTTGAAAAATAATTAACCCTTTTTGAATCCATGTAATGTGTCTCATCGGACTCCTTATGAGATTTGGAGAATTATATACAACGCCAGTTATATTGCTTTCATATTACTGAGTGAGAAATTATAATATCAATGTAATGTTATTGTTGGTGTTTAGTGATGGGCATCCATATGAAAATCGAGTTATTTTATATTTATCTAAAAAAAAGATAAATGTTAAATCACTTACAAATAATTATTTTTCTCCTTTAAGGATTTTCTATATATGAAAATCATTTTTATCAAGATTCAAAATTTTAATCAAAAACTTTTTCCAAACCACTGCGCAATAAGATCCGGAAGCTCATTGGAATGCTCAATGAGCGGTATTAACCAGAGGCCCGGGAGAAAATATCGATTTGATTCCGGTATCGATTCGCTAAGATATTTAATCATGGTTCCGGTTTCAGTTCCGGTTTCTCGGCTAATGAAAGTACCGGTACTGTTTAACACCGTCGCGCCAATTTCACGTGACTTTCCACTCATGCCATGTAGGCCATCAATGATCCACGATTACCACATTTATTGCACATCTTTATAAGATAAATCTTATAATATTTATAAGACTACAATAATCATTGCTATGAAAGGTAATAAGAGTAACGTAAAATATGCGTTATGAACGGAAAGTCAAACGTGGGCTACCGATGGTCCACGCGGCGCTTAACATATTAATCTATGGTTTATTTCGGTTCCGGCTCTTTAAAATTATTTTTTGTTTATATTTTTATTAAATTATCTAGACATGTATATATGTACATATTTATATACAAATTAACAATATTAACATTAGCCATTGAGCCAATGGAACCAATTGGATAGGTGTTTGTGTGATTAATTTATTTATACAAGGCAACTTGTCTCGCAACTTTTGTCCTAACGCTCGTGTGCAGATAGAGCGAATCAATATAAAAACAGAAAATATGTACCATTCTGCAAATTTTGCAATAATTATTAAAGAATTAACTAAATAATTTGAACGAATGAGCATACGGAAATCGGTAGGACGGATTCTAGGCACGTATAAAAAACGACTGTAAGAAAGATTGCTTGCTTTTGAGGTCTCCTAGCAACGATGGGCGTCAGCTGACAACGAGACACGCACTTTCTTTCGGCGCGGCACTGTGTTAACACGCCGATCGCTGCTCGTTGAATTACTCTGCTTCTTAAAATCAGTCGTTACTCACTGTTGCCTGAAGATCTTAAGGAAATTGCCATTTTTCTTATAAACTGGAAGCCATCTTCCTTTTTGCATGCCTGCAACGCCAGTTTACTACTTCCCGTGCGCTCATATTGATTAATTAATTCTTTAATAATTACAGTGATATTTGCAAATTGGCACCTAACTTCCTGTTTAGTTTGACATGTTCTACCTGCTCACGAACATTGAGTCAAAAGTTGTCAAACACCCTGTATATATAAAATATAGAACTATTTTATATATATGTTTTTCTTTTACAAGAGAATATTCTGTTACCTCTAATAAGTATAGCTGATCTAAAATATGTCTTCAATACTTGTTCTCAAGGGAAATATACATAAAAAAAAGGTCATGTTCAAATGTTGATTTCAATAGCAAGTATAGACAGACCAACCATTTGCTAACTTATATAATTCAGGTTGCTCTTCTGTTTATCCAAAAACTGTAATATATTGCTTTTACTATTAAATCTATTCTATTCAACGTTATATGTTTCAAGTTTAGTTTCTATTCGTCGTAAAAAGTACAGATATGATTCTTCAGATAATGAAAGACGTGAACTTGTTAAATTGTATTATTATTCTGTTTTTAATCTTAGGATGTTTTTTTCATACGTAACGACTGTTCTATTCAAATTTAAACAACTTCTATTGTATATAAACTCTATTTAAACTTCCATTACGTATTATTGTTATCGTCTTAATCAACACATGTTTTAAATGATTCTTAACTCTTCCAACTCGTGTTTCCTTGAACTATCATCAAAATATTTTTATCATTTTACCAAAAAAATGCATATTCTGGAATATGCATGTTTACAACATTTAATAATTAAATGGAAACATTGCCGTTAGATATAATATATCCCGAGAATGTACGGAAAACGATATACTACAAGAAATATGCGGGTATTATCAATATATTATATATATCTCTAATATATCCAGCATAAATTCCAGATATTCGAATGATATGTGCTGTCTGGGAAACGAGCGTGTATTTATAATATTACACATACATGATAGTACACTTGCGGGATAAAAAGTGCTTCCGGAAATAAATACGTACTGCGAGCAATAAATAAATAGCTATTGTACTGCTTTTTCCTGCATACAAGACATAAAATGTCGAAAAAAAAACATGACAATAGATTCTAAAATAAGAACCGAAATAAAAGGAACTGGGAAGAACTGCAGGCCAAAAACAATTTAACGGTATAGCTTCCGACACGGTAAGCTTTATAAAATTTCAGTACGGTTTACAGTTCCGATACAATTAAAAAAAAGAAAAAAAAAGGTCACGATTTCCGGTTTCGGTTCGATCAGAGTCCTTGTTGACACTGAACGCGCCTCCACTTACGAAATGACACGCTCGGCACGCGTTTATGTCTGATGAAGAGTATGTATATCGCAAATTCACTCGCTGACGGTCACGCGCGTAGACGTTAAACACGAACTTCGCATTCGCAGTGCATCGAGAACGTGTCGCACGCCAACTGTCCGGTGTGCCTCGAGGATATCCACACGAGTCGCATACCCTGTCACATTCCCGACTGTGGCCACTTACTCCACCGCACGTGCTTCGAGGAGCTGCTGCACTCCGGCCACTACGCTTGCCCGACGTGTCAAGTATCGCTCCTGGACATGACCGACCTGTGGAAGTTCCTGGACACGGAGGTATCGCTGACGCCGATGCCGGAAGAATATCGTGACTACAAAGCCGATATCCTGTGCAAAGATTGCCACGAGGNCCGTAGAACCCCCCCCCCCCCACAAAGTTCTGTGAGAAATTCCCTCTTCCCGAGGGAAGGATCACCAGGCGCTAACAGCGAATTATCAACGTTGTTTCAGGAATCCACGGTAAAGTTTCACGTGGTCGGGTTGAAATGCTTAAACTGCGGCAGCTACAACACCTGCAGAGTGAAAGGCTCCCCTTCCCCAGGTGAGACGATACGTCGTTGACTCGTAGGATTATCTCACGGGTCGTGAATGATTCTCCGCGAATCTCCTCTCATCTCGTTCTTTTCTCACTCGCAGACCCGGACACGTCGAACGAAGCGGCCGGCGGTAGTAGCACGGGCGAGGAAGAGCAATCCTCCAGTAAGTAAGGCCAAAGTTCAAGGTGTTGTCCACGAAACGGATCCGTCGATCGATCGGTCGATTGATCGTGGATCGGTCGGGAATGGCAGCGAAAGCGCGGAGGAAGATCACGCATACACACATACACTTATAGACGACACCGAAAGAGTATTTGTACTTTAGACGAATATTACTCTTTCTAATGTTTTTTGTAGCGAATTGCATTTTTATTCGTACTCTAAGGTGGTAACTCACCGACGTGACCGAGTATTTGTTTGGCCGAATGCAGGTTACGAGTACGTGAAACAAATGAAAAAACAAAATCAAGGAAAGACGAACTACCATTGTTTTAATGAGCGATGACGACGTCGTCGAAATTGATAGTTAATTATTTTTTAGCGATTATTTGTGATACGCTGTAATACAATTCTCTAGACATCCGAGCGGACGCGGGTCGCTTCGTTTACGCGGGCCTCTCGCTGACGAAGGTGAAGCTTAGACGCGCCCGTTCGTCGCGAATCGCGATTGACGAAGAGCGCTAACGATGCGATCGGCGTCCGCGGATAATTCATATCTCCTTTACGCGTGCATCATGTTTGCGACGCTACGATCGTCGAAGGAGCACGATCGCAATCGCTATTGTTAGTTAGTTTTTCGACGTTTTTATCACACACACACACACACGCACATATATATATATTTATATATGTGTGTGTGTGTGTCGGTCATCCCGGACTCGTCGCGCGAGTTCCAGCCGTGCGTTCTCGAGTGCACTTTCGAAGTCGCGGGTTTTCTTGGCGAAATTATGACATTCGGCAAAAAGACCTGGTGTCTCATCTCTCGTCTCTTCTTCGTTTCTCGAATTTGCAACGTTAACCCTTTGCGGTCCGAATTGTTTTCGACTTTCCTCCTCGACCCGTAAAAGTTTACACTTACTCGGCAATAACGTTGTCTAGATTTTAATGTTTCGGTATATGTGTTAATTTCAATATTGATACATGTATTTATATGCATTTTAATTTAAATGCCTTAGTTGATTACCTAGTAAATATCAACCAACGGTAACATTACATCAATATTATAATTTCCCACTCAACAGTATAAGTGTAATATAACACGTGTTATATACGTTACAGTTACATTGTCGAATGAGAAACTTATAATATTGATATAATATTGCTGTTGGTTGGTGTTGACTGAGTAACGTAACAACATATTTATAGTTGTATATTTGTATTGACTGCATATTATTAATGATTAGATAGTTGGTTTGTAGAATTGACTAAAACGAGACGCGATATCCAGGTAGACTCAACAAAGGATTATACATGTCGCGGTAGTTCATTTGGAATTTGGAAAATACCGACTACATTCAACACGTTCGCTGCCAACTACGAATATACTCGTATGTCGATTTGACTTCTTATGCCAAGCACGAGTTAATCCGCAATATAAACACGTTAATTTGAACCCTTGGCTTGTGAATAAAGCGGAGCGCACGTATGGGGGCTTGGTAGAAGGAAAATCATTTCAGCAAAAGTATAATATATTATAAATAATCATATATTCATATTTATCATATATTATAAATAATCTTTCTTTTACTAGCCGTGGCGTAACTGAAAATTTTTATTTAGACTCTGACTCTGAACTCAAGTTGCATTGAGAATGAGAATGAGAAGTTGCGATACGAGATTACTCGTAATTGGCGTATGAAATAAAATTCTGTCTGATAAGCCAGCTACGAGATAACTCGTACTGGCCCTGTAGAAGTGAAGATGCTTGGCGCGCGGTAACAAACTATGCCCGAGGAGCATGGCAGCGAACGTGTTAAATAACTAACTTAAAATCGGTTCAGTAACATGTGTGTAGCCTTCATATTAAGCCGAACAAAACCGACAAATGCAACAATTTCCGTTGTAGTAACTATTGCAGTATAAACAATGACCAAGTTGACACGGTAATCTAAGTATCCTGAGTATCATACGGATAAGATAGTCTACGTTTACACAATCAGCATAAAATTGATCCGATAAGTCTCGATGTTGTAATTACCAGTGTTATATATATACATATATATACGTATGTCATATAGTATAGTTATAATTGTTTATACGACGCAAGACACTAATAGTTGCATCAGGAATCGTTAAATCGGTTTCACGCTGGTCATGTAAACGTAGTGTCACGCGCATTGAACTAAAGAACATACTGAGCACTGGTGTGGTGGGAGTCTGGCCTGTTAGGCTGTGCGAAAAAGTCCACGTCTAAGTAATATTTCGCTCTCTGTCTTACTAACATGCTATATAATCTACATAGGCTAAGATAAGACAAAGACAGACACAAACAGACAAAGACGGAAATACTACTTAGATACTACTTTCTCTCTCGGTACAGTCATCCGCCAGAAACAAAGGCAGTGCTCATTCCAGTATGTTCTTTAGTTAAGTAGTTACGCATGTTCTTAACCCCTTACGTGGCAAGTCCATGTGGCGAGCAGTATGAAAAATGTGTTTAGGCCATATATTGACTACCACTGATATGACTTAAAGTTTTTGAGATCGCTGATCACGAATTTGAACTTAAACTTTGTAATCAGTGATATAAAGAACTTCGTAAAAAAAATAGGTTTCATAACATTCGGATAAATTTTGATTTTCTGCCAATCACATTGGGTCCACCATTCTGAATGTGGATATTTTTAACCTTAAATTTAGCAAACCAAAGAACTCTTAAATACCGGGTTTCAATCACGTAAGTTTTGATTCTTTGGTCGCCATATTGGGTCCGCTATTTAGAATTTTGATATTTTGACCTCAAGTTTATATTCAGCTAGTTGAAAACCCGCTAAATACCCGGTGTCTTCAGAATCCGGTCATTTTTTTTTTTTTGACCTGCCATCAGGGGCACAATAGTGAAATTCTAAATTGCCACGTGAAGGGAGGTTAAACCGTGTTTTACGCTACCCGTGTGAACGTGGTTACTGTGATCAAAACTATGAGGGAAGTCTCTCGAGAACGCTGAAAAATTCAGCTCCAAGTCGCTCGGTAGATCAATTTTACGGACGGGGGTTCGCGCGGCGAGTCCTCGACGATCCTCTTGCGTACGTATATAATTTATGCATACTTCTCCTGTGTCTTAGCTATACTTATTCCCGAGATAGCAACTGCGTCGATTAGCTAATTACACCTAAGAGAATTGTTAAAAGAAATCGTTGAAGAAACAACAAAAAAAGCACACATCGACCGAGCCCTCAGGAAGAGAGGGGAGCGGAGGTGGGCGGAATTCCGAGAATGTTTCGGAGTTTCTCCGGTTATCGAGGCATTGTGGTACGGCGGTGTCACCCCATCTCGATGTATTCTGCGCGCAATGTACTCTCGCTCCGATTTCACGGGAACGCTGCAGCTTCGCCGACGACACGCACCGTCCGAACCACGATCTTTTCTCGCGCAAGTGCCGTCTCGTCGTCGCTTCTCCGAGGCTCGTCCGACTTCACACGCAGGGATTCTATCGTATCGAGATGCGGGCGCGAGAACGTCGACGGGCCTAACTAATTGTATTACTTCGACACTCGCAAAAATCTCGACAGAATCGTGCAGAATCCGCATATACACACACACACACACACCTAGAGAGACATGTGCGCGAGGCGAAGCTTGAACAAGCAAGACGACAAATGAAAATTGCCGTTTGTGCGTGCGAATCGTCCTCGAGAAAAGTTCGCATCTTAGTTAAATGCGACACATTCCGTTTCGTTTCCAAAAAGTCAAGATCTCACTCTTAGTCGTAATCTAGTCGAGGAGGATCGAGCGCACTCGCCGCTCTCATATAAAGATCTTTTCTCTCTCTCTCTCTCTCTCACACACAAACATATACACACACACACGCGCGCGTGCGCGCCGGGGTGGCACACGCCGATGATGCAATAACGAGATATCAATATAGCGAATAATTGAGGGGGGGGAGGGGGCGAAGGAGGAGAAGAAAAAGCATCTTCTCCAGGCGGATAGTGAAGTATCGTGTATGTGACGGGTTTTGATGCACGCGTGTATACACATACAGGGTGTCCGAAACTTCGCGACTTTGATCTTACCGAGAGGTGCTTCGAGCAATTCTGAGTTAATCTTCCCGCAACGAAAGTGCCGAGGTATCGATAGTTTCCGAGATGGAAGCGATCGGGAAGAACGAGATTTCCCGCAAAGCTCAAGCAAATCAAATGGGTGACAAAAATCATCTCCTTCGGTCAATTTTAAGTGGGTTTAACTTTACCAGAAGTTTATTTTGAGCCTAGGCTGGTATTTCTAGTCGGATATTATATTTAGAATTGTGTCAAGATCACTTTTGGATGCTCTAAAGCCAAAGAAACGCTCCCGTAGCGTCTGAAGATGAACTTGAGACGATCTCAAATACAACATCTGACTATGAATATCGCTCTCAATTACAAAGGTATGTATGGCGTCACGAATATTAACCTCCCTCAACATTTCCGACGAGGAAAAATTGTCCCCAAATTGCTCCGAGAACCTCAAGGTAAGATCGAGGTATGGGACACCCGGTATATGCGCACACGTCACACACGGACGTTTTTCCCGAGAGGCATTCTTCTTCTTCTTCTGATACCGGTGAATATTCGTCATCTATGTAATGTAAACCTAGGTAATCTGTTTTAATGTAATTCTATGTAAACGCAATTATCTAGATGGAGTACTCGCGACGGGTCGTCGTCGCGGCGTCGATCGTGAATCTTGCTGTTCTCTTGTCGCGATTTGATACGAGATCACCTCCAGTTACCGAACGAGACGATAGTTTCCACTATGTGCTATGTGTTACTCTGTACACACACATCTCTGTCTTTCTTTCTGTCTTTCTTACACGACGACACGACGGTTCGGCGACACTCGACACTTCGTGTGGCTTCCCCTCGAACGCGACGATAATCGCGAGATTTTAAGAATGCATTTTAGACGCGATCGACTTCGGAAGGAAAAGAGAATCAACGCGAACACTCAGTCGACCCGCCGTAAATCTCTCATTTCTTACACTTGGCGTCTAATTTTTTATGTACACTCAGTTGCACGTGTACCTAGCCGTTCCTCAGAACGAGAGTTGATAGAATTTTCCTTCCGGACGCATCCGTTCCCAGATAGTCATGCATCGTGATTGTTGATTAGTCGAAGAGACGATGTGTACTCGAACGGTGTCACCTTGACGTTTCCTTTGCATTCGTAAGGAAAGTTATTTAGTATCTCATATGTTACATATAATCGGTAGAAACATCATGTGATTAAACCTGATGTGTGCTTAGAAACGATTGAAGAAGATAACAATACTTTAAAAATTAAATACATTAAACAATACAACAAAAACATTAAATAATACAAAAAAATACATTAAAAAAAAGCCTTAAAAAACGCTCGACTTCATTATTATTAGATAGTTTAATTTCCCAGTAAACACCAACTAACAATAACATTGCGTCAATATTATAATTTATCTCTCAATACTAGAACACCAATACGACGACTGAGAAGGAATAAAACGTGGGATTCAATGAAAATGGGATTTTTAATTCGGTAAGCACTAATCAATAGTAGCATTATATCAATGTCATTACTATTCAACAATTTACTATGCAACACGTGTCGTATTGCATATAAATTGTTGAGCAATAAATGTTGACATCGACGCTACTGTTAGTTCGTATTTATTGGGAAGTTGAATCATTCGATATAGTAAAGAAATCATGCATAATTTTTAAGGTATTGTCCTCTTCAATCGTTTCTGAACACACGTTGGATTTGATCGTATCACCGTCCTGTCGATTACTTTGAATGATAATACTTAAAAGTATAATTCCTTATGAGTGCAAACGAAACGTCAAGATATCGCAGCTGCTCGGATACATCGTTGCCGTCCCTTCGACCGATCAATAGTCACGATGCTTATCTAGGAATACTTCCAGAAAATATTTAGTAACTCTCAATCTAGAGAAACTAGGCACATATGTAACTGAGTGCACTTGGCGTCATTGCTGTGCCGCTTGAACGAGGTAATCAAGAGAGCCAAACGACGGCAAAGCAAAAATACAAATGAATTATAAATGATTCGCATTTAATCAAAATCGAGCTCGATCCGAGATTCTCACGATTTTTATGAAATCCCGCATAATCGGCGATTTATTTCGTTTTTTCTAAGAATCGCTACAAGATCACGAACCATCCTCTCGAAGTTGATCGTATATCCCGACGGTCTTTCCGAATTTCTTACATTTTAAACGTGCGAAATTCTGCGAGTTCTCACGCGTTTCGGAGCGATCTCGCAGCACCGGCGGAATCAACTTTACCATTCCATAGCATTCCACAAGAGCGAAGTGACGGCAGCAGCTCGTCGAATTTGTATCGAGTCTAACGAAGATGCACCCGCGTTTCCGACGACGAACTGCTGGCTGCAAGATCGAGGAGTTCTTTCGTACAAACGTCCGTTGCGCGAGAACCGAGCGCTTTCTTTCTTTTTAGAGACGATGCAAGAACGCGGACGTAGCTTGTCACACTTGATTGATACACAAGCGAGCAGACACTCCGATATCGGTCGGGAGGACGAAGTTTTATCGATCGGTGTTTTAGGTGTTCACCTGTCCCGATGAGAAGCGGCGGATTACGCTGACGAGAAACACGTGTCGGTCTCGTCGCAAACGCGATTGTCCCGCGCATCGTGAGACTAGCTTTCTTCTACTTCTTTTTTCTTCTTCCGACACACACACACACACACACACTTATACGAATCGATATACGTAGAATTTCTGTTGTGATTACCATCACGATTTTATTATGTTCACTTGTAAATTAAATACCAGTTACAAAGGCTCTTTGTACATAACGGCCGCAATAATGCTTTTGTTTTATATTACGTATAATATATATACTATTGTATCAAATAAAACTTGCTCTCTCTATCGTTTTCTCTCTCCTCTCCACTTTTCCCCGGGCGGGGGGATGACAAGAAGCAGATGATGACGCGAGACATATGAAATTTTCTCGGAATTCCCCCTTTCTCTCTCTCTCTTTCTCTCTCCGTACTCAGAGATTTATTCGACATTCCCGAGACAACGGGGAACATTCTCTTTTTTTCTTTTTCAAGCATATTGATTTTCCACGAGTTCGGTTACAAAGCTTAACACGGTTGCCTACTTCTTATCATCCAGCACGTGGCCGAAAATATCCGCTTTTCAGTTCACGTCTCCCTTTCTCGCTCCCTCTCTCCCTCTCTCTTCGTATCTCGGTGAAAACGGCGCGACGGGCACGCGGCGTCGTGGCCCTCGCGCGCACATAGGTTTGTTTTCTATTCCTGCACTGACTATACCGGTTGAAGAAGTGTGTACTGATGCGTTCTCTATTCTAGCGGAATTCAGCGCACGAGTTCACTGAACTGGCCGCCCGGAGTCTAAAACTGATGCAAGGACCGTTTGAACGGTTACACTTTCAAGTGAGAATGCACGGAACATCAAGCGGCCTATATTGTTGCATCGTTAAATTACCGTGCTTTCACTCCGATATTCAAGATACGCATAGACGTGCCAAGTGATATATACCTAAACAGTCGAAGTTTACATTTTACCGCGCTTCTGTTTTCAAAGTTTACTCTTTAGTTCACCGCCCAGTTATCAGAACAAAAGTTAGATAGTAAATATGAAGTAGGAGCTTTCCGAGAAGTTGAGAAGACTTGACGATATTTATATTTTAACGTGAAGCGTTTAATATTCGGATATACAAGTTGGAGCGCAAGTAGCCACACGGTTGCAGTGAAAATGACTGGTTCTAAAGTAACAACCATAGCGCGCCATGTTATTCTCACGCTGAAACGTTCTTCATTCCTTGGCTGCACGCTTACACGCTCGTCACAGTTCCGGTTAGCACTAGTTCAGTTGCTCAACTAGCGCAATCCCAGCGCAGGAATAGAAAACAAACCTTACGTCTATGTCTGTGTACTTGTGAGTGAGAGTGTAT